GAATAATATTTCTGAATGTTAATTGTCATTCCCCAACTGAGCAGTGAAGGACACTTCATCTCAAGCTACAAATCAGACAAAAATGTTGGCTACCCATTTTCTGTGATCTTGACGAAATAAAAATAAAAATAAAAAACTGTTTACTCACTAAATATATACCATCTCAACAAAGTCCTGATATTATACCTTTACCAGAATCTGTGTATCACCATGGTCCTCAAAGTATGACTTAACCAGAGTCTGTGTATCACCATGGTCCTCAAAGTATGACTTGATCAGAGTTTGTGTTTAATGTCCCCAAAATGGACATAAAAAATACTGTCCCTAAAGTGAAGGCAAAATGTCAGGTCTTTAAGGAAGACTTTTATTAATAAAATCAAGTGATAAGTGTGATGACAGCTTCTCCAGAAGTGCAGTCATGTCTTTCTTTTGTCTCTAGACCCTTCAGAAAGGGGTGTCCCTAAAGGTAGGGTTCCCAGTCATACGTCCTCACATTGTGGTTAAGTAGGTATGTGTGTGTGTGTGTGTGTGTGTGTGTGTGTGTGTGTGTGTGTGTGTGTGTGTGTGTGTGTGTGTGTGTGTGTGTGTGTGTGTGTGTGTTCACAACACTTGCCATTCCTGCGTCGTTGTGTTTTGCAGATGTAGGCGAACAGAACGATCCCAATCAAAAACGCTGATGCAGGAACTGTGTAGATGTGTGTGTGTGTGTGTGTGTGTGTGTGTGTGTGTGTGTGTGTGTGTGTGTTCACAACACTTGCCATTCCTGCGTCGTTGTGTTTTGCAGATGTAGGCGAACAGAACGATCCCAATCAAAAACGCTGATGCAGGAACTGTGTAGAGAATCCAGTCAGGCCGAGATGCTTAACACAACACACACACACACACATAAATTATTAACTGATTCAGCATTGGATTTATTATGACATAATGCTGCATAAAAGCTTACCTGTGTTATGTGAGTGGTTTTTGACTGGCATGAGATCAGGTTTGCTGTGAGATACACCATCAAACACAGTTGTGTTAACTTTTGTGTAGCCTGTGGACATGATGAAATTGTCTTTCTTTCGAGCTGAAAGTTCACTTCATAATGCTGGTTTATTAAACTAACACACATGCCATAATCAGAAACCATGTACACATTGTAGCAAAATATATTATATTTTTTAATATACTTACTATCTTACTACACTCTTAAAAATAAAGGTTCCAAAATAGGATTTTCACAGTAATGCATAGAAGAATCATTTTAGTTTCCCCAAAAAACCTTTCAGTAAACAGTTCCTAAAAAAAATAAAAAAAATAAAACTATTAAAAGTTAAGGTTATTTATTGGCATTGAATTGATGGTTTTGTGAATAACCTTTAAAGGGGACCAATTATGCAGCTCCTGCCTCGGATAATCTGCCAAAAACTAAATTATTAATGTCTATCGCGACCACACCTACGTGACATTGCAGTTCTTCATGAAAGTTAGGGGCTGTTTACTACACGACACCGTTTTCAACTAAAAACGTTAAACATTTTCTGCATTTTGGGTGCCTGAAAACGCAAACTTTTAAAAATGAGTTTTATAGTGCAAGTTTTTGAAAACAGTCTCCGTGCAAACCACAAAAACGCAAATCTCTGAAGACGATGACGTCATACACATGCGTATTGCGTGTTCAGTCTGTAGTGTTTCATCGCCATCTAGCGGCTTGGCAGCAAAATACAGCGTTTTTAGTCGTTTTCACGGATCCGTGTGACGTCTGTACGCGGAAAACTCAAATGAAAAAACTTCTCCGTTTTAAGCATATCGTTGTCGTGTAAACGTACCCTTATTATTTGCATGCGTTTTAAATCCATACCAGGATTTATTTTTTCACGAGAGATGATATTACTGCGCCGAGTCGAAGTGCTCCTAAGGCACTTGCTATGGTACTCTGCCATACATTATAGTTATCCATTTTACACGCTTAGAAAAGCGCAACGTTTTATTTTGTGTCACCGTTCTTGGTCGAGTTACACTACTCTAGTAACTGTATTTAAATAGGGAAAAAGTGGAGGTGTTTGGTCGCTTCTCTTCTTGGCACGTATTGAATGAACTGGGATAAGATCTGACAAAGTTTCGCCGCAAGACAGCGATGTAGTGCTAGTGCACGCACTGAGACGAGAGAGGTTTGTATCAACTCGTCTTAGTTAAGGGAATAACATAGTTTAATATGAAAAAACAGTAGAGTATCCCATTAAACTAAGTTCTCTTTCACGTCTTATTGCGCCTAAACTGTCAAATACACACAAGGGTGTCACAGTTATGTTCAGTGAGTTTCTGTTTTCATGGACTTATAGTTTTTTAGTTTCTGTTTTCATGGAGTTTTAGTTTGTTATTTTCAGTTATTTTCTGTTTTCATGGACTTTTAGTTTGTTATTTTCAGTCACATGTGTTCCTTCCTTTGTTCAGTTTCCCGCCACGCTTTAGTTGTCATGGAGATTAATTTAATCTGCACAGGTTTTAATTTAATCATCATTACCCTCATTTGCTTTGTATTTAAGTTGCAGTCTTGTCAATTTCCAGTGGTCCGGTCACGTCTACAGTAGGTTATGTTTTGTGTGCCTGCCTGTTTGGATGGCCTTTTAAGTGGATTATTAAAGACTTTTGAAACTTAATCATCATCATCATCTTCTTCTTCTTCTTGTTCTTCCTTCAACCTTGTGTAACAGAGGTTATGTCAAAAACACACAAAGTTCACATAATAAACAGTCGGTTATGTCTGTGAACGTAAACAGCTGGGAAAGAAATCGCATGTGTATATTAGACCTGTGTATTAAAGTGAAAGCAGCGTAATATACAGTACATACTGCTGTAAATTATGTTAATATGAATCAAACAACAAAAGAAAACAGAAAATCACTCACTGCCCTTGATTGAATAACTTTCATACATTTCTACTGCTGTTACTCTGCATGGCAAGGAGATAAACATGACGGATTGTGTACAGCTCACTCAGGGGCGGAGCTAAGCTAATAGGATGGATTACATCACCAATAGTGGGCGTGGCCTGAACCAATGTGACGTCACATTAGAGCACATTCCTGAACGGCTCAATCGGATGGCTGAGTACACGCACTGCGGACACATAAAACGTTCAATAACAATATAAAGGTCAATTTTGCATAACAGGTCCCTTTTAACATCCATGGAATCTTTTCATGCCACAAAAGGTTCTATATAGTGGAAAATGGTTATTTATATTATTAAAATATTCTTCACACTAAGAAAAACAAGTGGTTCTTTTAAGAACTGGTCACTGAGAGATTCTTTGTGGAACCCAAAATGGTTCTTCTATGGCACCAAAAACCGCTTTTGGAAAACTTTATTTTTTAAGAGCGTGAAGAACCTTAAAGAACCACTATAAAGAACCTTTTGTAGAATGGGAAGATTCCATGGATGTTAAAGGTTCTTCATGGAACCATCGACGCCAATAAAAACCTTTATTTTCAAGAGTGTTCATAATATTTGAGTGATATCAGAAACAATTTTGCATTGTGAAATGTTGAATGTCAGGAACACAGCAAACATCAGGCCGCTACATGTCACTATTAAACCGAACTGTGTTCTTTCTATGCATTTTAATCAAAATAATTTAATCCAAAAACCAGATTCAAACTCTTCTTTAGATGTGTTTACAGTTGTATCATTATTGAAATGATCAGGACGGAAAACTCCACTGAAAAGAATATATGACTTTTGTACAATCATGGATTTATTTTGCATGGTTTGAGAGATCTTTTGAAAAACAAGGTGAAGCAGCAGCTTTCTTATCTTTTAGATAAGCTTCATTTACGTGACGGCTTTCAGTCTTACTCTTTTTCTCTTCAAACACACTCACAGACAGATCCCAAGGGAGGGACTGCTTGTTTTCTCACCAGCTGCCTTCACACGTTTCCTTTCTTAACAATTTGAAGTGTTATTTTCACCGAAGTGAGGCTTACTCTGCTAAACTACCAAACATGCACCAAAACACATCAAGCACCGAAGATGATGTTTCAGTGTTTCATTAACAGTGTTGTTTGACAAAAACAGCAAGTCCGTCTGATATTTTTCTGACATTTTTCTTTTAAATGAGCATTTTTATGTACACAATTACATTGTGATTCACACATGTTGCATATTTAAATGCATTTATACAACTACTGTAAAATATGCCACTTTTTCTCTTATCAAACAATATAAGGTTTGCCAGAAAAATATCAGAACTTTATTAACTTTACTTTTACTAACCTTCAGTTGTGGTCTTGTTTGCTGCATTCATCCTGAAACATCAGAAAGCAAAGATGAGTGTGAACACAAAGATGGGTGAGTGAAAACTGACAGTAAAAGAGAAGAGGTGAAAACAGATGTGGCGGAAGAGGAGGGAGAAAGAAACAGAGAATAACATCAAAAGTAAAAAAAAAAGGAGAAGTGAGAGAATAAACAAAATACAAATCTATCACTCTTATGATGACACAAGTGTTTTCACAAATAAACTTTCACTCATCTTATATTAGCATTTAAATGCATATATATACATATAATTTTTTAAGAAGTCTCTTATGCCTGCATTTATTTAAAAATAACAGTGAAATTGTAAAATATTATTACAATTAAAATAACTGTTTGTTTTCTATGTGAGTGTATGTGAGTAGCCTAAATAGTAAAATTTAATTTATTCCTGTGATCAAAGGTGAATTTTCAGCATCATTACTCCAGTCTTCAGTCACATGATCTATAGCAATAACAATACAAATACACAATATTGCCACTTTTATTGTCTTTTTTTTCTTTCATCATTAAACACTTTCTTCACATGCTCACAGATAAATATAATTAGCTAAAACAGCATAGCCAAAGAATGCACAATCACAAATGTGACTTTCCATTAATGTCCACCTTGTCAAAGTTAAATGGGTGGTGGGTGACAAGAACAAGTCCGATTCAAATTCACCCTAAAATAAAATAAAAAGGAATACGAATTCATGTTGTGCTAAACCATTTTAGGATCATTAAACTGGTCAAACTGTGGTCTTCAGCTTCAGCACGCGCAGCCGCACTGTGAAATCACCGGGTAGTGCGCGCGGATCCACGCGCATCGCTTGAGCGCGCGAGAGCCCTGCTGGCAGTGCCACCGGAGGAGCGTGACGCTCACGGACTGCACCGGTTTACAAAACATCCCCTCCGGTAAAGAGCACGAGCGCTTGGTTGAGCACTGTCCTTCTTTGACGTATCTCGGCCAGAAACGCACGCCCAGATCTTTCCACATGGACAGCACCGGGCACTGCGTGTACGACCACAACCACCGGCGAACCCTGCGCTCCGTTTTCGCGGCTGCTTTAAGACCAGTGAAATCCAGCTGCTGAAATTCACGGGGTATCGGTCCGGCGAGACTGATCTCGTCCTCTCGCGTAATTTCGGACCCGTTACCTCGCGTTGGTGGACCGGTCGAAGAGAAGACGGGGTCAAAACTGCTGCCGAGTTTCCTCCGCAGCAGCCGAGGGGTTAAATCCCTCTCTCCCGGTTCCAGCGCCGGGTCAGGGTCCTCGTGCAGGTCCGGTACCGGCAGGTGTTCGCTAGGGGACGGGCGCACGCGCAGCTGAAGCTGAGATTGCGCGAAGTAAACGGTGACGGACACGCAGAGCACGAGCGCGGGAGACGCCTTCATTTTCATTCCAGTCAAGAAAAAGTTTTGTCAAATTTACTGAAATGAAGTTTAACAAAAAAAACGTATGATCATTAGTTTTGGATCGCGGTTCTTGGTTAGCCTAGAAATAGCTTGTGAAGAACAACTCATTCAAAACCGTATGCCTCTAAATGACTCTCACTCTTTACTGGCAGGTAATTACCGAATGAACTGTTTCCAGACTTTTAAAGGGAGACTATGAAGGCTACTCGTCTTTGATAACTGAAGCCTGTCTCCTGCTGAATGAAGCTTTTCTTCGGATACGCCAGACGCGTCATGAGCGGCGCGCTGCCGCGCTTGTGTCGCCCCGCGGGTTTAGATCAATGTGTCACCCGTTACAACTACAACACCCCTCTCCCTCCCTCTCCCTCCCTCTCCCTCCCTCTCCCTCTCCCTCTCCCTCTCCATCTCCATCTCCCTCTCACGGGTGAGCTGAGACCCTGGAACGCCAAAATGAACTACTGAATTAAAGTAAACTGAATATGTGTCATTATATTACATGCTGTTATTTTTATTATAGGCAATATAGGCCCTTATATTATTCATGTTTTATAGTCTACTGTTATGTTATATATATATATATATATATATATATACCTATTAAGTTCCGTATCAATTACAAAGTATTACTACTGACCTATAAAGCCCAAAATGGTCTAGCTCCTGTGTATTTAATGGACCTTCTATCGCCCTACAATCCATCGCGTTCTTTAAGATCACTAAATTCGAGGCTTCTGGTCATTCCTAGGATATCTAAGTCCACTAAAGGAGGGAGGGCGTTTGTAGAAAGTGCTCCCCTTGGGCACATGGACTCTCCCAGTCACCCCTGTCATTCAGCGAGAAATGGACTGTTCCAAACTTTCCACCGGAGTTCGCGAAGTGAAGGGGAAGAGAGTAGACGGATAATAAAGGGAAATGGAGATCGGCTGAATACTGTATATAGTTTGTAGAGTGAAATAGAGTGCATTAGCCCAAATCGAAGGAGATTTATCGATTGTGCGTGTGCGTGCATCACACTGTAAGTAATCACATAATTGTTGAACGTTCTCAGCGCATGCTAATCCGCCTGTAGCTGTGTTTACATTTAAGGTTGTTTACTTAATTATATTCTACTGCTGTGACATTACTGCCATTCCATGTATATTGATGTTATACGTATTCTAGTTATATTTATTCCTTATCACCAATGCACGGTTGTATCTCAGGTCGCGCGTATGCGCTCAGTTGTTTACATCTCGGTTCGACCGCACATGTAGCAGTAGCCATGCTCGCATGCACAGCTCATGCACAGCTCGTGCACAGCTCGTGTACAGCGTTAGCGCACACACATCCATTCCCACTTTTTCAAGTATATCATCATAGAGATTGTATTGTGTTATATTTCACCGCTATTTGTCAGTATTTTACCAAATAAGTTGTTTGTGATTTATATACATTTATATATATTTATATCTTTATTTTGTATTCACAGAACCACACATCTATGCACATTTAATAAACCTACGATTTGGAATATAACCTGAGTGAGACATCATTGTTCTGACCGGACAAACTGCAGCCTTCAGCCAAACCTGAACTAGCAATTAGAGTGAATACTCAGACAAGATTTTTCATGGTCCTTCGAGCCGGATTGGTGAATTGCTACAGAGATGTCTCAACCCGAGAGAGAAGCGCCTGTCGTGCGTCCACGAAGACAGATCAACCCACCGACTCATTTAGTGGATTATGAGCTTGGTGAGCCATTGCCACATCGACAGCCATTCCCAGACTTCAGCCATAGCAGATTCCAGTCACCAAGTATGGTAGCACAGACCCGATCGTCTTCTCCCGTCAGTCAAGAGTTAGATCAGGATAAGTGGACACTGAGAGATGAATGGCAAAGTGAAAGATCCGATGGGCGAGGAGAAGAGGAAGTAGAGCTTACAGCCATGCTGAAGGTGATGAAACGCGAGAACGCTGACTTGCGGCTACAAACCAGCCAGCTTCCGGAGATTATTTCAGCATTACAGGAGATGCGACAACAGAATGCCATGTTACATCACGAACTTCAAAGTCTTAAGGCAGAAAGGGGAGCCCCCTCCAGGCCAGTGACTTTACCAGTGCTATCTCCAGGTCCCTTTCCTCCTGTGGTGAGCCCTGAGACTCCACAACGGTTCCGTCCTACTCCAGCCCCACGGAAAACCCCCCCAACGCCGCCTACGGCCATTAGGGAGCTGTGCCCAGCTACAATAGATGAGCGCCTTGGATTAGCTGAGGATTTCAGAAACATGGACATTTCCTCCTCAATACCTGATAGAGTACCATCACAAGTGCGTTACAGCGACCCACCTCAACCCAGGTACGCTCGTTCCTCCCAACACATTCCAGCTTATCAGTCAGAGTTCAAGACCACAGCATATAACAGTATACCACCTCCGCATCCAGGCCACAGACAAGAGTTTTATCAGCCTTCATCAATGCAGGAGAAAATGTACCGAGGCCCTGCTCCAACCATTCCCTTCCTAACATCCCCTGATTCTAGGGAGTTCTCTCGACTGAGAATAGCATTGGAGAACATTTTGCCTGAGGATGCAACAGAGCGATTCAAATATCAGATCCTCACTGACCATCTTAAGTTGGAGGAAGCCCTACTTGTGGCAGACTCATACAGTAACTCAAACTTTCCTTTCACAAACACCATGAGAGCCCTCAATAAAATGTATGGCCAGCCACATCAGCTAGCCTTACAACGCATTGCAGAACTGATGGATGGACCAAACATTCGAAGTGGAGATGTGAAAACGTTTCGCATGTTCGGACTCCAAGTGCGTTCCCTGGTCAGTATGTTGGAACAGCTGGGTCAGAAAGGCAATGTCGAGTTGGAGTGTGGATCACATGTGTCCAGACTGATGAGCAAACTGCCACATGATCTCAGGTCCAGTTTCAAGAGGTACACTCATCCTCTTCATGTCACTATCCCCACATTATTGGACTTTGCGGACTGGCTTGAGTACGAGCTACAAGTTCAGGATGACCACACTGACTATACCAGTCAGTCTAGAGTTTCGACAGTGCCGGGGAGGGAGATGAGGAGAGACTCTAGACAGCCCCGCAAACCCACTACCATCCTCCTTGGTACAGAGAAACCAAAGGCCAGCCCAGCATCACCAGTTTATCCACCCAAACCAATTGCTGCTAAGAGAGAGGGGGTGAATGTTTACTGTCCATACTGCGACAACAACAGACATTTCCTGAGCAGCTGTGAGAACTTTAAGTTACTCAACAAAGAGCAGAAGGTGAATTGGATTAAAGGCCAAAATAGATGCTGGCGCTGTGGGCGTGGTCATCATGCTGCCAATTGCACACTTAAAGCCCTCTGTCCATCTTGTAACAGAAAGCACTTGCTGGCCTTACATGATGTAAATGACCAGAGCAGAGCCACAGAAGAATCGGTTCCAGCCAGTGCAGTCTTGTATGTGGATCGTCCAACCTGTGACAATAAAATTCTGCTGAAGGTGGCTAAAGTTCTGCTCCGAAACGGCAACAAATCCATGGAGGCATATGCAATCCTCGATGATGGGTCAGAGCGGACCATCATCCTACATGAAGCTGTGCAGAAGTTGAATCTGAAGGGTCAGCCAGAGGACTTAGTTCTCCGTACAGTCAGGCAAGATACACAGACCCTTCACGGGGCGGCTGTGACCTTTACTGTGTCTTCAGTGGCTAATCCTCGTAAGGCTTTCATGATACGGAGCGCATTCACAGCCAACAGCCTGGGTTTAGCAGAGCACACGCATCCCGTCAAGGTACTCCAGAAGAAGTACAAGCATCTTGCAGGCCTGCCACTACAGCACCTTCACAAAGTGAAACCAGTAGTTCTCATCGGTTCTGACTGCCCTCACCTCATCACACCCATAGAACCAGTCAGACTGGGTCCACCTGGTGGCCCTGCTGCTGTGAGAACACGCCTAGGATGGACACTACAGGGACCAGCACAAGAACTAACCAGCAGACTTTCCCCACAGCAATGTCTTTTCACCAGCTTACGGCCCACTAACGACCTTTATGCGAATGTGGAGAAACTGTGGAAAATGGACATTCTTCCATATCAAAATGAGAAGGTACTGACAAGGTCTAGACAAGACAAAGAGTCCATCCAACTTCTCCAGGACAAAACCGTGAGGGTGGATGTTAACAGAATCCAGCGCTATGCGACCCCTCTTCTACGTGCCAAAGATATGCCATGTCTACATGCACCCAAAGAAGCTGTCCTGCCACAATTAAGGGGAATAGAGAATCGGCTGAACAAGAATCCTGATCAAGCGGCGGCCTACCAAGAGGAGATAGTCAGGTTACAGCAAGCTGGCTACATTACAAAACTCACTCCTGAGCAGGTGGACTGTTCCAAAGAGAGCTGGTACATTCCACATCATTTGGTGGAGCATAATGGAAAGAAAAGGGTTGTCTTCAACTGTTCGTTTGCTTACCAAGGCCACAACCTGAACGAGTACTTGCTCCCTGGTCCACCACTCAGTCCTTCTCTTCTGTCAGTTCTTCTGCGATTCAGAGAACATTCCATCGCCATTAGTAGTGACATTCGTGGGATGTTCCACCAGGTGCGCCTTTTGCCTGAGGACAAACCACTACTGAGATTTATTTGGAGAAATCTTCAGAGAGACAAGGCACCAGACGTGTATGAATGGCAAGTACTTCCATTCGGAACAACGTGCAGTCCTTGCTGCGCAACATACGCGTTACAGAAGCACGTCCTGGATCACAGTGAGTCTGAAGACACACAGTTCTCAGTAGAGAAATCTTTCTATGTTGACAACTGCCTTCAGAGCTTCACCTCAAGTGAGACAGCGAAAGGTCTTGTAGACAGACTCCGCAGTCTCTTATCTTCCGGAGGCTTTGACCTAAGACAGTGGGCGAGCAATGATCCATCGGTCATCAGCCACCTGCCAGTTGAGGCTCGATCTCAAAGCAGCATCCAGTGGCTCAGCGAAGGTCACCAAGATGCACAAGAGTCAACTCTTGGGTTACACTGGCATTGCTCA